AGGTTTTAATTTAAGAGTTAATCAAGTTAAAACGCAGCAACTTCGGCCTCCACCATTTGGAACGAAATTGGAAATCTTCAAAAAATAAAACCCTTAAAATATTCTGTTTATATTTTTTAACCACTGAATGGAGCCGTTATATAGGGGTCAATACGACATGGATCCATTGCTTCTCATAAGCCATTACCATATTCAAATTCGAAACATCAAATAAACGGTGAATAAGGTAGCTAAAATCACCAAAATATCGTGTATAGGGAGGTACCGTTATATCTGCGCGAAGACCTGGACCTGCATAGACAATTTTCTGTCACAGACTGTAGTTCCCATTACGAACTCTAAATACGTAATTTGAAACAATTCCGAAATACCGAATATTGGGAGGTACCGTTATATGGGGGCTATACGAAGACGTGGACCTGCAAAGAAAATTTTCTGTAACAGGCTGTAGCATCCATTACGAACTTCAAGTACGACATTTCACACAATTGTGGTGGGTATTGTACCTAAAATCGTCAAAAAAAAACGAATATAGGGTGGTACTGATGTATGGGGCTTATACGAAGACCTGAACACACATTTTAAGCCAAATCGATTAGAAAATATAACCAAAAAAATTTCCGCGAAAAGGCCTTCTATCCCCTTAGAAGATAAGATGCCAAATAAGTGTAAAATCAATTGAAAAATGGGACCAAGACGCTGGAAATAGCTGAAATCAGCGGATACCTTTACATAAGGGTTATACCAAAGCATGGTCCTATTCTTATATTTATTTGAAAGAATGTGTTATTCTTCCTAAAATCTCAAATTACCAATATTTGAGGAATTTGAAAGGGGCTACATCATTTGAGGGAATACATCAATTTAGACCGACCTGATACATATTTTGTACAGCTGATTCTTCATGAAACCCCTAGGACTGTATCAAATTTAAACTTTGAGGCCCTTTGTGTTTGGTTAAGCTATATAAAATGGAATGAAATGAATGGAAAAACGTTTGACCCGAAACTCGTTTTTGGGATTTTTATCTATAAACCAAACAATTTTCCAAGTGTAATTTCCCGCAATGTAATTACTGACGATAGCGCATAGTCACCGTATAACGTTACATGTGAGTTAAGGTTACTTTTAAGGTTTCGAAAGAATTTTCCGAGGATATGCATAATTTTCTTTCTTAATTTTCAATTTGCTCTACTATTTCGTATAGTCCGCATATAACAGTGTTCTTCTGACGATAGCGCATAGTCACCGTATAACGTTATATGTGAGTTAAGGTTACTTTTAAGGTTTCGAAAGAATTTTCCGAGGATATGAATCCTTTTCTTTCTAAATTTTCAATTTGGTATTTCACTGATTGCAGTCCCAATGAATTTTGCATTTTATGTTCTCATTGGATGGATTATTTCCATATCTAGTCAATTTCTTGCAGTTTTGGACTTCAGAATCGAAAGTAATTCCTAAATTGAAATCCTGCCAATATGACTTTAATTTAATTATCATAAATATTGTTTCATCGATTTATAAATGTTAGGGACCCCATAAAGTATGTTAAAAAGTTGAAATCTTTGTTCATTAAATTATGTCCGTGAGCCTCTTCATCTACCATTTGCAATTACGATAGAAGTCGCCAAATTTAATATGCGTCTTTCAAACTTTGCACAGGTATTTATATTATTCTTAGGTTAATTGATGTTACAAAATGTACATATTTGTTCTCATTTAAATATATCCCTCATATAATATTATCTCCCAATATTCGTCGACTAAATGTGCTCTAAATTTTAGGTATTTTGAAGGACTCAAAAGCATTTTTGAGGTTATCAGAAAATTACAACAAAAGTCCACTTTATGATTTATTTTGTATTCCCCAGTACCTCTTTATATTCTTTATATAATCGTATTTAATTAAATTTTCAATTCTCAATTACCAGAATTATAAAGGTCTTAACAATATTTTCCAAATCAAAAGTAGTTACAGAATTCGTAACTTTTAGAAGATCATGTCATAAGGAATTTAGTTTCTAGCAGTCGATTAAAATATGTCTGTCTGTGTATGCGCCCGTTCGTTGAAATCACAATAAAGGCGAAATATTTCGGTTAATCTTTGAAATAAAATATTCCTAGGAAGTTAGAATATATCGGTTTCGTTTAGATATAATAATACCACTAAAATTCGTCCTTTTGCATGTTTTTGGTACAATTTCTACCGAATTATCTGTAACTTGACATTTAAAGTTTTTGGTATTGTGAAATCAATACCGGAAATAACTAGTTACTATTGGTTCCCAACATTTGAGGAATTTGAAAGGGCTATATCGTTTGAGGGGGCTATATCACAATGTAGACCAACCTGATACATATTCTGTACAAATGATTCCTCGTGTAACCCCTAGGACTGTATCAAATTTAAAACTTTATCGTAACTTTTGCGGAGTATAGGGCAAAATATTTACGCCCCTTTGTGTATGGTTACGCTAAGTAAAATGGACTCTAAAAAAAGTTAGATCCGGGAAGCCTTCTTGTGGGATTTTTATTTACCAACCGAAAAATGCCCGAACCCCAAATTGTCTGCGGCGCAGTGTAATTACTGACGATAGCGCATAGTGCCCGTATAACGTTACCTATGATTTAAGCTTACTTTTAAGGGTTCGGAAGAATTTTCTGCGATTTTTCTCAACATTTTCTTTCATGACAACGTTTCCGCTGTAATTACAAATAACCAACAGAAAATTTGAGTCAAATCGGGCCAGAGGAACTGGCCACACCTACTTCTTTAAATTTATATGTAAAAAAATTGAACTGATGTGTTACTATACTTTTTTAATTTTTTTACATATAAATTTAAAGGAGTAGGTGTGGTCAGTTCTTCTGACGCCACAACAGATGCCTAGAGTAAAGGGGGGCGGTGAGTCAAGAGTTCGTCGTATACTAACTGTGGAACAGATATCTTCATGATTTTTGCAAATATTAGCATTTTAGATAAATCGAAAAAAATGAGCGGCAAAGTGGGCTTTTCACTTTTTCTATGCATAAAAACGTAAATCTGGGTAGGACGAACATTAAAAAAAAAAAAAAAAAAAAATATATATATCCACATAGTTCCAGCCGGAATATATAAAGCAATATATAAAGCAACTGAAATTACAATGAGAATGAATGCCCAGTAACTTTTGTAAAAATTCAGATATTGAGAAAATGTTTCTTGTTTTAAATTAGGTGCTTTATTCACTTTTTAAAAACCTAAAACATAAAAACAAAATTTTTATATAAAAAATAATGTATGGTAAAGTCAATTAAGCCGATTTTGGCTTGGACAAAACAAAAGCAATTCCCTTGTACATTCATATAACCGCTGCAATATCAGTTGTTTTTACTGTGATATTTATCGCTTTTTGCTTCCTTCTACAATTTCGCTTGTCACAAATCCTTTTTGAGAAGTTTTTTACAACAGTATGTGTTTTTCTTTTCGTTTTTTAAGTACTGCCCAATAAAAATTTAAAATGGCTACAAACAAATGCAGTACCTGAAAAAAAGCAATTTATCAAAACTTGACAAATATCGGTTGCGGGAGTCAAAAATTGATGTTTTGTTATGGCCGGCACAATCACCTGACCTAAACTCCATAGAAAACCTTTGGAGTATCGTAGATAGGAAGATCAAGCGAGATTCGGAAATAAATAAAAAACATTTTGTAAAGAATTCGGGGTGCCTGGGAAAGCATACCCAAGGATCAAATTGAGCGTGTTATAGATTCAATGCCTCGTAGGTGTGCAGCTGCTATCAAAAATAATGTTTATGCTATCGACTACTAGCCAAAATTTAATTATTTTAAAATAAAAAATCAAAAGTGGCTTTAGTTTTGGCCAAGCAAAAATTGCGTCATTTTAGTTTTCCACATATTATTTTTCGTTCAAAATTATTTTTGTATTTTTATTTTTAGTTTCTTAAAAGTGAATTAAACCCCTCATTTAAAAGAGGAAAAATAATTACGATTTATTTATTTTTGTAAAAGTTACAGGACATTTATTGTCTTTACGATTTTAGTTGCTTTAGTTTTGGCCACCAGTGTATATATATATATATATATATACGCTATCGTCAGTAATTACACTGCGGGAAATTACACTTGGAAAATTGTCCCAAAAAACGGGTTTCGGGTCAAACGTTTTCCCATTCATTTCATTCCATTTGATATAGCTTAACCAAACACAAAGGGCCTCAAAGTTTAAATTTGATACAGTCCTAGGGGTTTCATGAAGAATCAGTTGTAAAAAATATATATCAGTTCGGTCAAAATTGATATAGTCCCTCAAATGATGTAGCCCCTTTTTAATTCCTCAAATGTTGGTAATTTGAGATTTTAGGAAGAACAACACATTCTTTCAAATAATTATAAGAATAGGACCATGCTTTGGTATAAACCTTATATAAAGGTATCCGCTGATTTCAGCTATTTCCAGCGTCTTGGTCCCATTTTTCAATTGATTTTACCCTTATTTGGCATCTTATCTTCTAAGGGGGTAGAAGGCCTTTTCGCGAAAATTTTTTGGTTATATTTTCGAATCGATTTGGCTGAAAATGTGTGTTTAGGCTAATTTGGGGGTAGAGGGGCTTTTAAAAAACAGTTAGTGTATACTTTTTAATACATCTGATCTATTATTTGGGTTTTAAACTCTCCAATTAAAACATCTGGCCGAAAATAATTATGCTTTAAAATCTATGCATTTTACTGGGGAAAATTTGTCCAGTATTTTTGATAAATTTTTGGTCCAATAAACTTGTAATACCCTCACAACATAGTTTTGCTTCGTTCACACTAATTTTGGCGTTTTCTTTGCACTGACATAATCATTTGCGAGAACCATCTGTCGTGTGACATATGTTCATTTGTGTCCTGCAAAAGTTACTAACTAAATATTACTGGAAAAGCAAACAGACGCAGATAATAACACTCTATTAGCGACGAATTGTGAATTTCTTTGGATGCACTCCCTACTTACCCGGACTATTTTGCTGGAATGTTGAATTTTAATAACAAACAGATACTTTGGTGGCACTATAACATTTATTAACAGTGCTGTACATTAATCTTCAAGTTTGTTTTAGAACGCATAGGGTGGATGGCATTTGGATTGAAGACTATACTAAACAAAACCATGAACTCTAAAATACACCCTTTTTCTATACTTGTAATTGTTTACGATGTTCGTGTGCACAATTTTTGTATTTATTTACCGGATATAGATTAAAACAATTTCTTTTTTTTTATCAAATTTGAGAAATTATAAGAAAAAACAGATTCACTTATCACAATCGTTTGTTTTGTATAAATATGTGCGTATGTATTATTTAACGCATGCTCTCAATGAACTTCTTGTTCATATGTACAGAACATACGAACATACATATACATATTTTGTAAGTAGTTTTTAAGCAAACAAATTTTTCACATTGTTCTCAACAAACAATCACATCATTTAATCATTAAAATTTAATTTTAAATTCTTCTTCGGTTTGTTTATCGAACATAACTTATTTTATTTTATTTTAATATATATATATATATATATATATATATATATATATATATATATATATATAAACCCTCATTTTTTTATTATATATAATTGATACAAAGAAATTTCGTGTGGGTCGCACAAATCACAATTATTCACTGAAACGTATTGCGAAATTTCTGCGGCGTTTCGATAATCCGATATTAACTAATAATTACTACATTTTCATCCCAATTCACTGATAACGTAATAAAAATCAGAGTTTTGACGGCAAGCAACAAATATGTATACAACTATTTATGTGTGCACATCGGCATGTACATAAATGCGATTTCACTATTTTTATTTCACTAACTTTTCAATAAATCTCTTAATGGGGGGCAAGAATATCACTTTTTATTTTATTTAATTTTTATTGATTGTTACGGTACCGAAATACGATTTAATTATATACTATCCGTTTTATCAATTATTTGTGTATAGATTCAGAATAATTGTATTGCCGTTGTGGAATAACATATTCTCCTATATGTTTTCATATACACACTACCTGAAAATATATTAATGACCGAAAAGCTTAAAGCTCCACGGCAGCTTTTCTCTTTCACATTTATATAACAGTGCTGCCCCAGCTATTATATCTTAATAGAAAATGTTGCATAAAAATGCTGCCAATGTTTCAAAATTGAATACACAACCCGTTACGTAGGGTTGGTATACACAAAAATCTCCCTCTGAATGACTCATTTGCGTAGCTGTGTTACACTCTTTCAGCGTATATTTTCAAATATTTCTACAGGAATGTATGTTTTTGCTAAGCTCTTAAAATAAAATGAAGTACACATTTTGCGATGTTTTTATACCCTCCACCATACTATGGAGGGTATATTAACTTTGTCATTCCGTTTGTAACTCCTCGAAATACTCATGTCAGACCCAACAAAGTATATATATACTTGATCAGCGTAAAATTCTAAGTCGATGTAGCCCTTTCCGTCTGTCTGTTGTAATTACGCAATCTTTCGAACGAATTGAGATAGAAGGCTAAAATTTTGCACACGTGTTTTTTTTTTCCAGCTGGCAGGTTAAGTTCGTAAATGGGCCATGTAGGTCCACGTTTTCATACAGCCCGCGTAGACCGTTACCTCCCGATATTAGGTATTTTGATGATTTTAACGACATTATTCACCAGAATTGTTTCAACTTTGGTATTTGAAGCTCGAAATGGATAATACAGCCTATGACAGAAATTTTTCTGGGCAGGTTCACGTCTTCGTACAGACCCCATATAACGGTACCTCCCTATATTCGGTATTTTGATGATTTTAGCGACATTATTCACCGGAATTATTTCAAATTTAGTATTTGAGATTAGTAATGGATACAACAGCCTATGACAGAAAATTGTCTGTGCAGGTCCACGTCTTCGTATAGCCCCCATATAACGGTACCTCCCAAAATTCGTTGTTTTAATGATTTTATCGTCATTATTCACCGAAATTGTTTCAAATTACGTATTTAGTGTTCGTAATGGGAACTACAGTCTGTGACAGGACGTACCATATAACGGTACCTCCCGATATTCGGTATTTTGATGGTTTTTGCCACATTTTTTTCACTGATTTGTCTAAAAATTGGTATTTGTGAGTCATAATGGGTCCTAGTTCGTGTGGCGAAACATGGTATGTATAGGTCCACGTTTTGGTATAGTCCCCATATAACGGTACCTCCCAATATTCGGTATTTTGATGATTTTTGACACATTTTTTTTTAACGAATTTCTCTGAAAATTTGGTAGTTGTAGATCATAATGGGTCCCAGTTCGTATGGCGAATCATTGTAATTATAGGTCCACGGTTTGGTATAGCCCCCATATAACGGTACCTCCCGATATTCGGTAATTTGATGATTTTTGCCACATTTTTTCACGTATTTGTCTGAAAATTGGTATTTGTAGGTCATAACGGGTCCCTGTACGTGTGGCAAAACATTGCATGTATAGGTCCACGTTTTGGTATAAAATGTGGAATGTGTAAACCTTGTAGGTTGTGTGAAAAAAATTGTTAAAAATAAAAGGAAATAATTTAAAAAAAAATATTATTACAATTTCAAAAAAATCGACATTAAGAAATTGAAGAAACAAATTAAAACAAAATACAATAAATAAAAATTCAATTCAATTCAGAAATTAGGGCCGGAATGACAGAATTCCTCAGACAGGATACTCCAGGTGAAGGGGGAGACCAACCTATAGGGACTATTCGAATCGACGAGTTAGACAAAATACCCGACATAGTAAGATCCTTAAGAGAATTCTCGGGGAAAGCTGGCGAGTTCGGCTCGTGGCGTAAATCCTTTGAAAGGGTACTTGGACTTTTCGATAGCATCAAAAATACTGGCAGGTATTACGCTACATTCATCATTGTAATTATAGGTCCACGGTTTGGTATAGCCCCCATATAACGGTACTTCCCGATATTCGGTAATTTGATGATTTTTGGCACATTTTTTTCACGTATTAGTCTGAAAATTGGTATTTGTAGGTCATAATGGGTTCTAGCTTTGTTGGCGAAACCTTGCATGTGTAGGTCCATGATTTGGTATAGCCCCCATATAACGGTACCCTCCGATATTCGGTATTTTGATGGTTTTTGCCACATTTCTTCTAATGTTTCCTTTACCCTAAGGTGGAGGGTATTAAAAGTTTAGCCCGGCCGAACTTAATATTCGTTTACTTGTTTTTTTTTTTTTTTTTTTTTTTTTTTTTGGTATGTTGGGAGTTGTAAAGAGTCATTGCTGTTCTAATTGTCGTCAAGAAAAGATTTGCTAAGTGTTCTTAAGCCAGAAATCTATGATGGGTAAACAGACTTCTACTGATACAAGAGAAATAGTGATTAAATTTCATAATGAGGGCAAATCATTACGCGAAATCGGTTCTATTATTAATAGAAGTCATGCAGCAGTAAAAAAAATAATTGATAAATATAAAAATTTCGGAAAAGTAGAAAATCTTCATAAAGTTGGAAGGCCAAAACGGCTAAACGAAACTGAGATACGGTCCATAGTAAGGACTGTGAAGCAAAATCCAGCTGAAAGTTCAGTGAAAATCGCAGAAGCAATATCGGAATCTTCAAGAAAGACAGTAAGTGCCATTACAATACGACGAGCACTCCACGCCAATGGATTACATGGTCGTGTTCCTAGAAAAAAGCCGTATATATCCAAGGTTAATCAAAAGCGACGACTGGACTATGCAAAAAAGTATAAAGATAAGGAAATTACTTTCTGGAAAAATGTTGTTTTCAGTGACGAGAGCAAATTTGAGATATTTGGCAAAAAGAAATTGGGAAAAATAGGGAGAAGTAAGAACCAAGAGCTGGCAGAAAATAATATGGTAGCGTTAAGCATGGCGGGGGTTCAGTGATGGTGTGGGGATGTATGGCGGTGAGCGGAGTGGGTAATTTGGTGTTTATCGAAAGCACTATGAATAAAATTACTACCTAAATATTTTAAAAAATAATTTACGCCCCAGTGTCGAGAAATTGGGTTTGGATTCTACATGGGTCTTCCAGCAAGACAATGACCCAAAGCACACTTCAAAAGTTGTGAAAGAATGGATGCTGTACCATGTACCCAAACAGTTGGATCATCCCCCACAATCTTCAGACCTCAATCTTATAGAGCCAGATAAGAAAAAGGACATTTACGAATAAGGATATGTTGAAAACGGTTATAATGGACGAATGGTCAAAAATTCCATCCGAAGTGACAGAAACTCTTATAGAATCAATGCCACGAAGATTGCAAGCTGTTATTAACGCAAAAGGAAAACACACAAAATACTAACTTTTTGCCTTTCTTTGTTTTTTGTTTACTGTGAACTTTCTTTTGACGCGTGAAATATGCTTTTTATTTACTCTTTTGAATAAATTTGTTGTTGTTGCGTGAATTTTATTGTTGTTTTTTTTTTAATTCGAAATGGATTCAATAATGTTTTTATTTCACAAAAAAAAGTTGCGCAAAATCAAGTTACAAAGGCATTAAAAATGTTAATACTACTGTGTATGAAGGTGTAAACTTTCTTGTGGCTCTGACTGTATATGCAACAAAAGTGCATATTTTCCACAAAATGTATAACTTTGGGATGAAACAATATTGTCCCTCTAAACTGAAGAAACCCCCAATATTACATTAATTTTTTTCGGTTTTCCCAAAGCAGTAATTTAGTGAAAAAAAATGTAAAATAAACAAGACCAATTGTTGCATGTTAAAAGCTTATTTGGCATTCAAATATAAACATCTCAGTCTATCGTTTAAGGCTGGTATATATATGTCTGTCTATATATATATATATATATATATATATATATATATATATATATATATATATATATATATATATATATATATATATATATATATATATATATATAGATATATATATATATATATAGATATATATATATATATATAGACAGGCATGTCACAAAATCATATCGAAATGGTTTGAATTTCGTAATTCACAATCATTCATTTTTTCAGCTACTTCAGATTTCGTACGATTTAGTGAATTAAGATTTCAGTGTAAATATGGCAACAATATATATTCAATACAACTCTCAATTTTTGAATCAGTGGACTGTACGTAGAAAGAATTAGATGTACCAGTAGTCGAGCTAGGTTTTCAGCTAGCTTGGTTTTGGACACATTGGTTGCAGATGGCAAGACTACTTCTTGGTGAAGTAGAGTGTTGTGTCGTTTGTTACATTTGTGACATGAAAATTTACTGGTGCAAAGCTTGACATTATGGACTTTAGAAAAACAATTTAAGCAGGGACCATTCTTCTTAATTTCATTGTATCTTTGAGTGGGATTCATTCTTAAAAACGATGGGCATTTCCTTATGACGTGAACACCAGAGGAACACAATTTGCATGTGTCTTCGAAAATGTTGTTTTGAAAGGTACGGACATGTTTGGAACATGTTTCAGATCTCCCTTTGGATGACTTATTTTGGATGTTGTAATTAGTATTAGAATCTTTCTTCCTTATTTCCGAGACTGATTCTAGAATTCTGTAGCGATTGGTGAGAAAAGAATCTAAACTGGACCATTGTGGGATCTCTGATTTATTGGACAACGTATGTTCCCATAGAGTGAGTGTAGACTCGGGGAGACGATTGGAACATATGTGTACAAATATGGGACCCCAACTCTCGACATCAATTTTGTACAATTTTAGAAGGGAGATGCAGTTATTGATGTCACTTTGGAGTTTCTTAATTGAATTTCCATTTTCTTGGATTATGCTAGGAAGGCTAAACAGGGTTTTTAGTTAAATATTCACTAACACTCTAAGGAACTAAGCCTTGTATTCTTTATACAGATGGCTGTAGAGATGCCCCTAAACGTGGGCCATGATGGATAAGCTCCGCTAAATATAGGTATTTCGCAGGGAGGGAGTTTGAAGCCATGTTGTGGTCCAATAGATGGACCCGGACAAGTTGTCGAAGCAGGTGTGGGAATGGGAGTGGATAGGCTATGTA